AATATGCTCAACAAAAAACTCTGAATATTTAACAATGTAAACGGTTTTGATTCTGGTAGAACGTCGATCTTTTAAAATTATACAAATGGTTACATCTTTTTTCAACGCACTGTAGTAAAGCCAATGTTTATGCTTATTTTGAATATAAATAAATAAAACTCACTTATTCTAATCACTACGAACAATACGAGTGAAATTATCAACAATTGTTTTTGTATCTACGCACAAAGTGACACTCAGGAGAAATATTTAGGAATTTTCAAATGCAGGTTCTGAGAAGTAAATGTTTGAAAGGAGTATTCGTATTTTTGATTGGTGTTATATTGCAGTTGTTTTAACGGGATATTCTTCAAGGGCTCTTCGACTCCACTCCTGCTTAGTTTATACGATTTCCATAATTTTCACTAATTTTCTAATAGTATATGAACCCTGTTGACATAACAAAATTCCTATCAGTTTAAATATAGAATATTAAGTTGTTGAATTTATACCATTCGGCAACAATAAAATTGGAATATGTGATTTCCATCCAGTGTTACCAACTTCTTTTCACTCGTATATAACGCACACTAGGCTATTAGTAAGCACACTATTTTGCGATTCAGGATGAAATCTTGCGACAATGAAAACTAGTATGGTAATATGATATAATGGAGGATTCAGCTGTTTCCTTAAATCTATGGCTGATCCCCGACTTGTTCGGTAACTGTGAAAATCTTTCACTTGTTTAATTCAGTTGTATGTTTAACAGATACCAGCTACGTGTTGGGAACCAGCCTGGAGCGTTGACTACGGGAACCGATTACTGGGTTCGGAGAAACTTTTGGATGGTGAAAAACCCGTTCCCATTGTTTGGCAAGATTTTGTGTCTTACGTGCTGGGTTTGGAGTGGTTGGTAGGAAATCGATTAAATATTTTCGAGTCCCCAAAAAATACTTGGGTGGGAGGAACGTCCAAATGGTGATGAAAATTAAGACTACAGTGAAAATAAGGTTTTAGTTATTATAATTTAGTTAAACATTATTCACGCTTATTTGCTTGTTATTTACATTTTTATATCCTTCACAAATAGTTTTAGGTTATGTACTATGTTGTTTTTTAGTAGTAAAATCGATCTCCCAGAGTTCGAGAAAACCTATGCAGTAATTAATTGATGAAAAGGTTTCAGAAGTTGCATTAATTGATGAAAAAGTTTCAGAAACTCAGTTTGCTCCAACATTGTTAAGTCACACATAATTTTAACAGGGGATATTTACACTGATATAGGCCTACCCCTAAGATCCCCTGAAAACTACTTATTTAGTACACGTTGTAAATTTACTATAGCTCTGTGTGCTTATTACATCAAACAAGTAAATTTTTCAACAGGTTTGAGGTATTTTTGCTTCCAATTTACTCCTAAACTATACTAGTTTACCAATTGCATTTCATTTTTTTATGCCGGTAAACTGTATGTCATAATACTATAACAGGACTTTTTTTAAATAAACTAAAATTATTTTTAAATTCTCATGAATACTAACAAATGCAGTGCACTTTGTTTTGTACATTTTAAGACGGCCACTTAATTTCTAACTGTGAGCAAAAGGATTCCTTAGGATGTGATTTTTATGTTAATACTGTTTTAACTTTAAAAGCTTCAAGACAATAACACTTTCGACTACAGTATATTCTAGATAATAACAGATACACACAATAATATGTAAATGAAATCACGCGACTTCCAGCCATCTTGATTGAGTATTTATGTTGATTTCTACTTAATTCCTACAGAAAACACATTTGTTTGTTAATATAAGCTACGGGATTTTAATACATTATCTAAAGCCTAATGGGTTTGATTATTTCCTAAGACGGATTACCGGCAATCAAGAGTGAGGTTAAACTGGTTTACCAGTCTGGTGATTAAAAACGTTAGACCTAATGAATATTTTAATCCTTACATTTGGTACTACAGTAATATATTCTGTCATCACTATACCATTTAAATACCCGGCTACAATTTCTTGTGCAAAAATGTAATGCAGCCAACATGTTTGAGGGCCAATCAAATTAAATATTTTTGATTAAAAAACCTAAAGACTGTCCTCACCTAAACACTTTATATGAATTTTAAACACTTTGATTGTTATATGTAAACTTGTAAGATTTTCCTTCCAATTCGAAGTAATGTATATTTTGTTTGCAGTTTTCTTACTGGCCTCAAAGTATGATTTAACGTTTTTATTAGCTGTTTGTACTGTAATTAGATAGTAATGTATTCTAGCAACACCAGTTACAGTTTTGTTTGAATCTAGTTTTGACATTAATAATTATCTTAACTTTATGAACACCGTGGATCATGCAGGGATTTAATTACTGTATAGGCTACCTGTCTATCTTTCAACTGATGAACACGAAATACAAATTATTTTAAAACATGTTTTTGTGGTATCTCACAGGTTAACTTATGTCGTTAAAACTCGCATACTTAGTCGTCAATGGAAGTAAATACCATTCGAGATTAAAAACTACATTTGTAACCAATGTGTAAATTTCCAATAACCTTATCATATCTCTGTACAATCATGGGAACGAAGGAGAAAGTTTATCAAACAACGGAAATTCAGTAATCAAAGGCTTGTAAAACGCATATTCTCTAACCACTTGAAATATTATTGAAATATCTAAGCTACCAAATAATTAATTTAGGAATAGTCCTCCCAAAACATTCGTTTTACAATTCAAAGTAGGATTGATTCTTAGTTGTATTCTTTATGTGTCATGTTATTTGTATTAAATCCATCCAAATGCCTGTTATATTTCTGGTAATCTGTTTTTTCTGAGAGATTGTTTTAATGCGAGGGATTTAATAATTGGGATCTCTAAATGCTTAAGCTTATTATCAGTAGGAATAAATAGTTATTCTCACCGTATTTATCCAAGCACCTTTTAGATATTTAGAGTAGGCCGACAGGCATTACATATTATGTTTGGCAGGCTTATAACCGGACTGTGGCTCATTCACAATTTTATTTGCATTTTACAACTAACATTTAACACTCGGGGAAGTAATATACAGAGCTGTTTTACAACCACAATTCAAGGACACGTGTAATAAACATGTTAGACATACATAGCTTCACTAGCATTCTAATTCCTAAATATTGCAATGTCTGATAAACTAATGTTTGTGACAAGTAAACCAAAATACTTAAGCATAAAGGTTTCTACTCATTACAATTCATTTTACTGATATAAGAAATGTTGATAAAAAGGCGAAGTTATAAATACAGTATTTATTCCTTTTCTAGTTCTAATACACTACTAACTTTTAAACGAAAATATTTATGATTTAGATTATTTTACAATTTTATCCACTCACAATCTCTTGCTCAGCTACAGTTTTATATTGAAAGTCAACAAATTTCAATCCAGCCGAGCCGGTAACATTGCAACAATTACAATCGGTAATAGCAATCGATAACCAATGTTGCATACATTCCGTTATTTACAATGAAACATTAGGTAGAAAACGTATAGCTGATGTCCCGGACTCTAGTTGTTTTTTTTTTTTTTTTTTTTTTTTTTGCTCTAGCGTAAAAAAGTAAACCCGTATCACATGTTGTTTTTGTTGCAGTATGACGAAGCGATTTTATTGGCGTGTGATTGGTTTTCAAAGGTGGGTTGAGAATCGAGCCTCCACAAAGATGCACCTTGGGCGTAACCTAGGCCGAAACACGTTTTAAGGCCACGGTTCAATGATAGCATCGGTATCGCTGCTTGTGATCTGTCACTGAAGTGATCGTGTTGTATCCGTCAGTCTTAGTGGCGACCTTCGTAGAACCAACAGAAGACTATATATGTTTGACAATTATATATTTATATATTATATTTTGACTTTATATATTATGGCAATTCAGCGAATTCATCATAATTTAAACAGGTCGTTATTTGATCGCCTAAACCTTTGGCTGTTGCTATTTTAAAACATCTTGCTTGATTTTCATTTAGATCGATCTCGTTATTCAAGACCTAAATAGTGTGTGCAATGTAAATAAAAACTAGAGTATCAAACATTGACATAGGCCTAATGTAGTGACAAACAAATGCTGACAGCTATATTAACTAACTGTCCAACTGTCAAAACTATGCTTTAAACAGATTTTTTTTCGGTTACAGGAACTATTTAAACATAAAACATGTGAACGAATGATAACTTGTAAAAAGTAAAATATCAATCAACGTTTTCAAAAAACTTGAGTATTGTGATATTCATCTATGTTATGTATGTTCGCATAGTTTGTGTAATTAATTACTCCGACTAGGTTAATTCCGGGCTACGTTTGCCGGAATAGTGCGTCCTACAAACAGGATTGTTTAAAGAAGCGGAAACAATTTTACCTGGAAAGAGGTAGGTACCTTTGTACTGCACTTCACACAACTTTAAAACAGCATGTCAATCAGATTATAGCCATCGCAACGATTAAATTGAATTTTGAATGGGTTCTTTGAAGGTAGTGGAACTTCTGTCATGTTCATTATGACTTGAAAGCATCGTTTTCATCGAGTGGAGGCATATTCTCTTTCTCCGATGTAAAATTATTTTCACCGGAAACTTAACGTGAACATCAAAGGTATATGCACATTGACAAAGGGGTTTTTTATGACTTTTAACCGTTTAGTTAATATCGATTTTGTAAAGATGTATAAACAATCGTTGGCAAAAAATCCTAACTAACAAATTATATCACTGTTTAAAACGCCGCATTTATTGTATCACAAATTTAAAATACTTCTCAAGTACGATATTACACTAAACATTAATAATTTATTTGCAATCATAAACCGGTTAAACCGACTATTTTCGTATCGTAGCTTTAATGGCTCCAAGTGTGTATCATTAAAAAGCCACATGTAAACAAAGTTTTAGAAATAATAACATCGTAAATTTTACTGTTATACTAAAAATAAAATGTCTATTTAAGTAGATTAATAGTGTGAAATGGGAAGAATCTTACCTGGAAACACACAGAACAAATCACAATCTCGCTACGCACGGAACACAAAACTTGGTGAGCACGTCCGACTGCCTACGGCCTCGGCGAGAAGTTGACTGACTGAAGGCACGGCAGTGCTCGCCGCTCGCGGCCCTGCCCCCACCCGGCACCGTGCCTGAGCCTAATTTTCGTTTCCTCTACAATATTATTGATGGGCTTACCGGGGCGACCACAATACGCTATTTCTACCGCTTCGACTCTTCTTGCATTATTCATAGAGAAGTCTATTCCTACGGCCGTCGATGAACTCTCCTCCAGCCGAACTCGGGATCTCGCGTCTCCGAGATAAGGTATTTTTGGACGGTTTGTTTTGATCGGACCGCCTCCCAGACGCAGGTAATTAATTAACGGATTTCTCAATTACCAGTTGTATTTCAATCGAGGAATCGAGCGAAGGATCGGAAACTTCGACGCCTCTCTGTTAATTATGGCCAATCAAGTAAAGGATTAGAGGACACTTACCAAACAAGTTGACTAGATAGCTTGTAAACGTTTGGTATTTTTTGTATTCTGTCTTGTACATAATTAATTTTGGCTGGACCTTCAAACGCTTCGTGAATGACTAGTTATCGCTTCGAAATACCAAGTAGAGGAATATGAGTCAATCGCTAAACAAGTTTACTATTTACCTAGTAAATGTTTGGTAATTTTGTGTCACATATTGTAGATGTTTATTTTTGTCGTGTGGAATTTCTGACTCTGCGCAGATAAAGATATTTAATTAGAATTGTGGACTTGGAAAAACAAAGTAGCTATGAGCTAATTACTGATAATTTTGACGCTATATAGTAAATATTAGTACTAAGTCACTCTCTCCGGTTGATGTTTCCGTTTTATTGACGAGAATTTCAGATGCGCCGTATCGATAGATAGTTATGGACAATCATGCAGAGACGAGAGATCACTTACCGGACAGGTTGACAATGTAAAGCTAATTTTTAGCGTTTACATGTGATTTCTATTTATCTGAGTGTCCACGTATCATACAGTTACACTCAAATGTTTGTTAGTTGGTGGTATTTGAATTTAATGTTTTAATGAATCATTTCAATGGTTTGATCTTAAATAAATGACTGCTAATTCAGTAGTCTCCAAGTGATGGGTCTGTTATAAAAAAACTGCTAAGCCTTTCGTAACATATCTTTGGTATTTTAATTGGTTTATTATCGTAAAGCGTCAACATTTTACTACTTTTTAAGTAGGCATGTATGTATATATTTACAAAACTGTATGAGATAATTATTTAAACCAGGTGTAAGTTTTGTTTTTCACTGGGTTGGTAAGGCGATTTATGTTTACATTGTTGTAACAGAGCAAAATAATGTAACTGTATTACGCATTGAAAACCTCACCATGCGAAAGCGAGTAAAAGTGAAGTATTTTCCAAGCACAAAAATTTTTGTTTTTTGTCAAAAAGTAATCGTAAGATGGAATAAAAGTCCACTTTAAACGCTAATCTGGTACATGAAACATTGAACTCCTGGTCGAGGTACAAGCAATCATCATGTCTAGGTATAACTAAAACTACTGTAATCATTAGTCTTGTATACATTTTGAGAGTCGGTTTATCTCCATGAAACTAATGGATCTACATGATATTATTCACAATTCACAGTTTTACTCTAGTTACTGACAGGGTTGTTATAATATAGTATTTCTTACTGCACAATACAAGATAATACAACACAATACGGCTGGCGAGCACACAAAAACTATCACCAGTTCAGTACGAAACGAACCCGATCCTTAGGGGGATACACGATGGATCACAGTTTCAGACGATATAATCTAACGATTACTTTGATTGCCTACCTACAGACATGTGAGAAAATACCTATCTTCTTGTCATGTAAAATAGTTATATGAAATTCCCTACCGAACATAAACCAATTCATGTTTCTTCTGCCTCGAAACAAAATTGATCTCTTCCTAGTCATATAAAGATTGTTTTTATTATCTATAACATATCGTACAGTGTCTCGTTCAAATGGTCCATGTATGGTTTTAACCAAACTAGATACGAGCTGATGAGCACTTTTCAAATCTCCAACGTCAAGTAGAGCAAGTAAACTTTATTTAGCTAGTTTGTGCAAAATATTGATAGTTTACAAATATAAATCAGGTGGATGAGTAACATATCAGCGATGCCAAACCGGAAAAAAAGATCCTGCATGATAACGGTGCTTTGTAAACAAAATTGATAGTTCAATCCACCTTTCACCTTAGAACAATAGGCAGTCACTTTTACTTTTGTATATCAATAACAAGCGTAGGTGGTAAATTAATAAATTTGAAACTCATATTGCAAATATTTGGTAACAACATTGTAAATTAACTCACAAAGTAATCGTCTACCAAGTTTTTTTCATATCAAACTTTAAAAAGTAATTTTATCAACAAAAAACCTTTGTTCCCGGTTGTATAATTAGCTTAAAGAATTGGTTTAGTGAGTTTGTCAAAATAATACAAAACGTGAAAATTTAAAACACCTCCTTTCATTACTTTGAAAAATACTTTTTTCCTACAGTTACCTAACACTGTACATGTTCTCTCACTGATTTGAGAAAACAAAGTGGCCAATTCGCTCATCAGTGAGACAATGTTAACATTGTCTCACTCTAATTACTTTGTCTCACTCCAGATTTGCAACGTGAAGGCACGTTTCTTTACCAATTTATTTATTTTAAGGTAACTGTAGGAAAAATTTATTGTGCAACTCGAGTGCAAAGTGCAATCGCCTCACTTTGCTCACTAGTTGCACAAATAACTATTGACTTTCTGTTGATATCCAATTATTGTAAATACCTTAGACTTAACCCCATCACCTCAACCTAAGTTTGCTCAGCTTAGGTTGATAAGCTTAGTCAAAGTTTAACAAACTAGTTGTAGGATTCACAAATAAGTAGTTGTAATGTACTGTATCTAAAGTAGTATCTTAAGGTACTCGAGTTTATGTGGTTTAATAATTTGTTTGGGTAGACCTGGTTGGGTGATTAATTTAGCTTTTTACTTACTACTTGAAATTAGTCAATTTGAAAAATAAAGCTTCGATTGGGTTCTGATCACACGATTTTTGGCTTTTTGATTATTATGGGACTTGATGGTTCATTGCACAGCCAAACTACTCGTTCTGGTATCTAATAAAACATTGTTATGAGATTTTAGTCTCTTAAGATATGACTTTTTCCATGCTATATTCTAGGAAAGAACATCTAAAAAACTAACATTATAATCTTCTGGAGGACAAAATCCTTACTTAAAATGGTTGAATATTTAAAAAAATAATATATCTATACTATTATACAAGTATGGTTTCAGTATGTCTGGGTGTGGGATTCCATCCTCATAACCACTACACCAAATTTGGCGAAACTTTGCATAAAAAATAGTTCCTGCTCTGGTAAGTAACCTTGGAAATTGCTGTTTTACTATTTTGCATGGGCACTTTTCTTGAAATCCCGAAAATTCTGAGGAATAATTTAGTGGTCTTTTTAGAAACAAAATAAATGAAAACAATTTATATTTTCCTTGTAAACATTTCCTAAGTACTAACATTTTTCCATTTTCCAACAGTTAATGAAATGAATATTTGATATCCATAAAAGTTTATACATATCTGAATATAATTCTAAGAAAAATAATCAAAAATGATTACTTCACCGATAAACATCCTAAATACCCCTAAGGGGTTAATTTGGAATTCCCGCTAGTTTCACAACATGTGTATCTTAATTCATAAGTGGTAAATAAACACACAGGTGAAAATAAACAAGACAATTTGCCCAAGGTCAAAACGGACAGAGGATACTTGTTGACTTGGCAACGTGAATACAAACACAATATTGCGAAACAACACGTGATGAGGTATAATTTTAGATAAACATTGATTACATTGTGGCCTTCCTGTGCATCTTGCAATTTCGTATGGCAGCTTAGAAATTGACTACCATGTCTTGGACATTTGTAATTATGAATTCATTTACAGGGTGAATCAGACCACCCGCACATACTGTATCGGGATATACGGCCGCTTGTGTAACTCACTGATCAGGTATACTAATGTTTACCAACTTCTAGAATAACTAGGGATCTGAAATTCTCTTTGGAGGTCCGTCTAGGTCCCAAACCACCCGGAAAATCCAAAAAAGCTACGTTTTTAAATTACAAACCTCCCACAAAATGTTCTTAAATCCCTCTTTTTTTAGAAAAACGCATTTTTAAACGGCTATAGCTCAAAACGGTAAGAGATAGAAAATATTTGAAAGAATTTTGATGGTCAGAAATTAAATTTTCTACAAGACACTCTTAGGCGTTTCGTATTTGCACGCCTAAAATCACACTCCTTCACAATTAAAAACACCCTACTTCTAACATTTGTAAAATGTCCTGGATTTTGACGTGTTTTTAATTTTTAAAATTATTTGTTGCACTTAATATTTGTTCTTTTAATGATCCCAACACTGAAATAAAAGTGCCTAAAGTGAAATTTTAAAATTGTAACCTTCTAAAGAATTTAAAATGGTGGATTTGTTTAAATAGAAATGTCGTGTTTTAACGCTGGTTATGCCAAAGCGTTGTGCACAGATGGTCTGATTCACCCTGTATATTAGCTAGTGCTGTGTATTGTTTGAACATTTAGAAACATAACACTCAGCTCAACTAAACAGTATTTATGGAAAAGAACCACATACAATTTGAAGAATCTATTACTCGGTAAACGTTACGGGACTCTTAATATGGGATTCAACTTACGTGCATCTAGGTTTTAAAACTACTCAAATCGTTTTTAATAACAAAACACCTTAATATATTCAAACACAAAGTCCCTTTTAATACAAAGTTCCGTTAAATCTTTGAAATCCCTTCAACATACATTTTAATGTTTAAAAACAACCCCCTAGTAAACCTATACAGTAATTCAATGTCGACTTAAATTTTTTAAATTGAGCCCCTTTTAATTTTTGGTACGAACAGTTTTTTAACATTATAATTAAATAACACAAACGTTATCTTAGCATTATTTGAAAAAAAAAACTAATTTCGTAATACCCCGCCACAGC